CGCCTCGGCCCGTGGCCGGCGCGTCCTTCAGCTGGGCCTGACTTCCTTTTCGGCCGAGTAACTGCTCGAGCTGCCTTTAGCTGTGCACGAAGGAAGGAGACGGGAGCCAGGGAGCCGGGGCCTCCCTCGCGGGTCCGCGGGCTCCGGAAGCTGCCTTTTTTACCCCTTCGGCGGCGAGCAGCGAGGATAAACTTACTCGATGAAAGTGGGTTTGGTAAAAGAAGTGTTTTGTCTTGAGCCAAATATATGCACTTGAGCAGATTGCTAGTACAGTGCTGTGAGTTCCTTCAAAATCTGATGGGGTGGCAGCCAAGTGGGGCTCATTTGGGAGATTTTGTTTGCTCAGGCTGACTGGAACAGGAAAGGCCTCCACGGTGATGAAAGGATGATTACAAAAGAAGTAATCAATGGCGTTGTCCTGTTTTTAATAGGTATATGAAGAATGTTTATCTTTTCATCTATTATTTAATCCAGTTCTGTGGCCACTCTTGGATACTTACAAACATGACAGTCAGATTCTTTTCATTTGGAAAAGGTAAAACTTCAAAACTTTATTTTTAACTTTGAATTCTTGGTTTCATTTATATATCAGTGCTTAATTTAAATTTTCTCTATGAAGCTCACCCAACATCCTTCATTTCTCTAAAACTTACATTTTCCAGTAATCATAATTCTTGCTCACTGAAAAACCAAAATGTGTTTGAAGAGAAAAGTTGGAATAAAGGAAAAGAATTTGGCTTCTGCCAAGGTAGGCAGGTTGCTCTGAAAAATGTAGACATATCATTGGGACACTGCCATTTCACCATTCCTTTCTGGTTCTGCGCCAAATCCTAGCACATTTGGTGTTTTGAGGAAATGTACAAGATGCGATATAACACTTTGTGCAGAATAATGACTTAATCAAGTTCTTCCAGTGTTTATTCCCCAGGTTTAGGATGACTAACTTCCTTTTCCCAGGACACTCTGACCCCTTATGAAGTAAGTGTAAGTGATACACTTGGCAGGTGACTAACGATCTGCACGGGAGTGGTGATAATGGCACAAGTCATCAGCTCCCTCCAGTTTCCTACAAAGTGAAACTGTTGTTTCAAAGCAGCATTCCAATTTCTTATGTGAATCACTAGGTGACTTTTCATGTTCTGTCCCCACGTAAGTGTCATCACAGTTTACAACTGTTGGGTGGTGACTTGACAGTTTCAGCAACTGCTGGTCTCAGCTAAAAACAAAACATGGAGGATGTATCTGGAAAAAGCCATGCTGTGCTCAATTCAGATAAGGAAATTAATGTACTTCCAAGGTTCCCTAGCTTCTTACCGAAAATCTACACATAAATTCTTTAAAATTTTTTCATAATTATTAGTATGCATTAATTGTACAAAATAATGCGTTGCATTGTGACATTGCTGTTCATGCATAAAACACGCTTCAATTGTATCTCCCCTCCCTAGTGCCCACTGCTATCCTCATCTCCCTCCCCTGGGCCCCTTCCCCTTCCTTCATAGGCCCCATTCTACTCCTGTCCATTTCCCCGAGGATTCTACATGAGAAAACATGCAGTACTTGTTACAGATCAAGAACATGCCTTCATTCATAACCTCAAAGATACAACAAACACCTCGATTTTTAACTAGCAGTATTAAGATTTTTCTAGCAGAGAAAAACAGGTGATGGGAAATTTTTCTTTATAATTTTAGGGGAAAACACCATCACTTCTAAGTTTTGGAAGCTGGCTAAGGCTGTGTGGACACATCACTCATGACGTGCATCCCAAGCCAAGAACTCTGATGCTGCCTCCCCTTCCCAGTGGGAAAAACTGCTTGAGGCAGCAGTGGCTTTTGTTTTTGCAGTGCTGGGAGACTGAACCCAGGCCTCTGAGCTGCACCCCCAGCCCTCATTTCCTAGCTACACCACTAAACCGGGGCTCTGCAAAATACCTGAGTCAATGTACAACTTAAGTCGCTCGACAGCAACCTACAACCCTGAGCTTGTGATGCCTTTTACCTTCTCCCATGACAGAGCTCTGGCATTGATAGTGCTTTGCTCCAGCAGATGCAGGTAGTCGCTGGAAGTGTGGACTGTCTGTGCTTCAGGAATCACCTGTGAAGAGGAGGTGTTGATAAAAGTGTCCACCTTAGGTTGCTGCTCAGAAGAGAAACCCTTACTTTGGGTTTGACCGACTGTTATATCAGGGATTGACAGGCAGTAAAGATAAGCAATACATTTAGCCTACTTACAGAAACATTTGTGTCCCTTCCGTTTCAGCTCCAAGGGTAGTATTTCACTGGGCTCTCTGCAGTTAAACTGTAAATTTTGATCAAGGCCCAAGTTCAGTGTGTAAAACACACACAGTTCCAGAAAGCGTTTGCCATATTTGCGTAGGAACCAACTCTAGATGCGCTAGGCATTTGACATCACGGCGTATTTCCTGTTGTTTCCATAAAGCTGTCTGCAAACGCTGGAAAAGCTGAGCAGAGCAGCAGCTTTAACAGGTTCGCCTTCAACTTATTCGCACTTCAAGTGGTTTAGATCCCTGGAGACCACTTTTATGTGGGAATGCTTTACAATCTCATGTATGGGTCATACTTTGGATATAAAGACTACTTTTGGGACAGTTAAACTATGCTATAGTATGAAGTGGTTTCTCTGCATTCCATTCTTAGTGACCTTGTACACTAGAAAAGTTTTCACATCTCTAAGTTCACTTTTAACTCAGAGGCTGCCTACGGGTACTGTGATCTAGCTTTTACTTACTATATATGTATTTTTAATCCACAGATTCAATGATAGATACTTTTTATACTATTGGACTTGTCATGAGACTTTGCCAATCCATTTCTCTCTTGGAGTTGCTGCACATTTATGTTGGCATTGAATCAAACCATCTTTTTCCAAGATTTTTGCAGGTAGGCTTTAATCCCATTATTACTAATATTACTGTTATTCAGTGCTTAATTTTCAACTGTTCTATGGCAGTTAAAAAGCCAACTCTTGCCCTGAGGCACTGCTAAGAATCCAGTACATGGAAGAACTACCTTATTCGCAAACACTGCACAGTAGGAGTAGCTGATGGGAAGCATTTAAGGCAATAAGGATTATTGATCTGTGCACTGCATTGATCCTGTCCTGGGAGGATATCTCATGGCTGTTTCCCACTCTCAGTGTACCTGTTGATGGTAATGTATGACCGTGGGACACCACAGGAGTGAAGCCACTCAGACTTGGACTTGATGCCATGTTTCTGATGACTGATGTGAAATTATGCCACCCACAACCAGTGGGCTGTGTCCAGGAAGATACCTGGCGAAGAGCAGATGACTAAAACACAAAACTCTTAGGTTTCCTTTATACCTCTCCAAAGAACAGAAAATTCCCCAACCATTTTTTACTCTTCCACAAGTTTTTACTGAATACAAATGGAAAGGGAAGATTGTTTATCTGAGAATTGGGAGTCACACAGACCTGGACTCCTAAAACATTTCCTCACAATAAAAAGAGGTAAAGAGCTGTCCCAGAAGTTGCATATAATTTGGGAATAAATTTACTGGTATTTAGGATTTATTGAACATCTGGTGTACTTTGAAAAAACTGAACTGCATACAGTACCAGTATCCCTAATTTTAGAATTAACAACTCTGGTTAAATGAAAATTGTATTCTGTCACATGGAGTATGATCAAATTTATCTGAGATCTGTCATTTTTTTGCTATGCTTTTAAGGATTTTTAACCTTTTTAGACTAAATTGGCTAATGCCATTTCATGGTAAAACATTTTCAAATATATATTGACATTTTATTCAAAGTTTGTTTTTTTTAGTACAGTTGATTTTTAAGTGTTTATTCCTTGGGGGGAATTAGCAAGTCAGTGATCACCACGTTAGAAGAAACAGGGATGGGCGATTGGCTCCGTGGTTCTGCTGCTTACCTTTGCCTCCTGCCTCGCAAGCACAAGGACCCCAGTTTGATCCCCATTAACAAAAAGAAACAATTACCCTTCGGATTCTGATAATTAGGGTTTTTTTCCCCGTGGATTTTTGGGTCCTCTTTTGTCTCTTTTATCCTCTTTTAGCTCTTTACATGAGCTTTTACTGCTATTTTTTAGTTCACTTATCCTTTCTATGGTTCTCAGAATCGTGTTGGAAAGGCTTCAAAAATTACGTATGTACAGTTTCATTTTCTGCACCCTTTTTTTTTTAGAATTCTGCAGACAAGTATAATCCCCTCATTAGGAGATGACTCTGAAGCCTGTTTTAAAATAAAACAAAATTCTCAGGTTGTGTAACCATTCTTAGTTCTGTTTCCATGTGTTTAAGTGAAGAAATAGGAGTGAGGGCAGCTGAGTTACTCACATGGTAATCGCTGCTGATTGCAGGGACTTGGCAGATGCCTGGAGTCCAGCTGCTTTCAAGGAGCCTAAAAACCAGGCCTGCACAGCTGTGATGTTGTTTTCTTGCTACCTTCAAGAGATGGCTAAGCCACACTGGAATGGCCTTCTGGGGAACTGCTTTTCCAGAATTACCAAGATAAATAGTAATTCCAGCTAACAGTAGAAATAGATTAGCTAGTTGAACAATTAGTATAGCACACATCAAATACTGGCTGGTGTGCAAATAGGGGTGTTTATGTCCTGTGCACTTTTTACACTCATCTCTATTTTGACACCAGTTTTTAAAATTGCAATTGCTAAAGCAAAATGAGACAATAATCATTTGACGGGTATATATTTCAATTTTTAGACAGGAGACAGTGACTTACATGCTGCAAGTATGCCTCTCCTGCACTGGGGAAAGCGCAGACTGTAAGACTTTTACTGTATCATTTATTCTGCCTGTACGAGTTGCAACATTATAAGACCCTTCATTAGCAGTGGTTGTATTTTTAAGGATTTGATAAAATGACAAGGTGATGTTTTCCCAAGTATAAAGCTCTAACTAATCAAGTTATATAAATAAAATAAATACATTTAAAACGTATTTTCCTTTGAATTGTTTTGGTGTTGATTAGCAAGTCTTATTTTGCACCAGGGATCGAACTTGGACCTTGTGCTTGCAAACCAGGCAGCGGAACCACTGAGCTAAATCCCTGGCTCAATTAGAAAGTCAAGGAGGCTCTTGTTGGAAGGGCTAATTTTTCAGAAGCGCTTTTATTTTTATTTATTTATTTTTTCCAGAAGCTCTTTTAAAGAACAGTCTGTCACTTGGATGGCAGGTTCTGGAGTAGACCATAAAGCAAGAAAGGTAGAAAAGTCTTAGTGTTTTAAACAAGGAATTAAGAATCACATTGCCTAGATTTTGATGCCAGGACTCCTCTAGAAAAATCAGTTGTATTCAGTAAAATATACGTCTTTTGTAGAAGGCAGATAAATAGCAATACCACCTAATTCCTAGGGCCATATGGAGAGTAAATGAAAAGGTGTATGTTCACAACCTGGCAAAAAGTAGGCGATACTCACTTTTATCCACTTCAAGAGAATCTCCTACATTCTCTCAGTGTATTGATGTTCAATGTGCAAATTAGTTAAGTAACTGTCAGATAATCTGCTAAATAATTAGTCCCACATTGTACATTGAAGGAGCCTTCACATATCCCACATGTATGTCCATGTGTCGTGGTTTGGGGATTGTCAACTGCCAATTTCTGTGCAACTGAGAACCCATCAGTAACAGCCATGGACCTCAGCTGATGACTTTCAATACAGTGAGTTTCACTGTGCAGCTCCAGTCTCCCTTTTAGGAAATTTTTCCTTCTGTCCTTATCAACTGAGGAGCTATATGATGTGATGAATACTTTGTAGTTCTGGAGGCCAGAAGACTTAGGATACAGGTATTTCCTGGTCTGCCATGTGGGTGGGCACATATCACTTAAATTCTCTGTCTCCTAAAATCTTTATTTGTAAAAAGGTGCAGTGATCTGAAGGGGACTCTAGATATTACCTTGGTAAGAGCTGAGTTTTCTCAGTAGTTAAGAGTGTAATTAGAAATGTGTGTTATATGCATGTGTTTGTGTAAATGTATCTCTTAAGATTTTTAGCAAGTAAAACCCATAGGTTCTTCTAATTACCAGGCATTGATAAAATGCAAGATTAGACAGTAGTGAAGTACTTCTTTGCTGCTTAAATTTGTATTTAAAGGCTGCCAGGGGTAATGACAGTGAAGTTGATCATTCAATAATTATACTTGTAGTTCAGAAGAATTCATTATGGAAATTATTGAATTAAATCAATGACCAAAGAAAAACTGCTATGTAGGCATCTTCCATAGACTGACTAAGGTTTGAATCATATCTAAATTCCCCTTAGCTAAGCAAGGGTCTTCTTGACTCACCTCTTTGGTCATAAATATGCAGATAAAGGTTATTTATGTGAACTTCTGATCACATGGCCCTCTGTGGGAAATCTTGGATTTTTCTACACAGCCTGTGATTCTGACATAGATTATCCCAGTATTTTTTTTGATTAGCTTTTGAAATAAAGACAGCTATTGAAAAATATATTTATTTATTTAGTTTTGTTTTTTTTGGTACTGGGGATCGAACTCAGGTCCTTGCATTGCAAGGCAGGCATCGGAACCACTAAGCCAAATCCCTGGCAGCTGCTGAAAAATATAAAGAAATTCCTTTATATACTCCTTTAATCTCAAATATATTTTGTCTATTGAAAGCAAAATAAAATGTCCTATAAAACACAGAAAACTGTACAATGTATAGAACATTATTATAACAAGTGTTTTATTTACAACAGGGAGAGAGGAGTATTTTGAGCCTAATAACTGGATGTAAGCCAAAATGCTTACTGACTTGGAATATATAATACACAGTCTAAGAATGTTAAATTTTTTTCATTTTCCACACCCTGAAAAAAAGCTACAATGGCTTCTCTGTTTGATGAAATCTAAACTCCTGCGCTGTCGCTCAAAACCCACCCCTCGCCCACACATTTCCAGTTTCATCTCCTGTCCTCCGCTTCTCCGCCCTCCCGTGTCAGCCTCCCTGAATTTTCAGACCTCTCCCCCCCTCAGGCTACATTTACCTAGGGCGATCTTTCTCACAGACTACAAACTCTACCCACTGTCTAGGATCCAACCAACCAAGGCAGCAAATATGTCGCTCACCTGTGGTCCTGTGTGTGCCCCAGAGTGCTTGGTCTCTATACTACAGTCACTTTCTGCCACCACTGCCACACACTCTGTAGCAAGGAGGATGTTTTCATTATAGAATCTAATACACACTGAAAACAAAAAAAGCTTGCCAAAGTTAACAGAAACATGTGCATGTGGCAAGAAGAAAGGAAGTGTCCTAATTTTTAAAAAATGCTTTCTTTCATTATATGTACTTTGGAAAGTACGGAAAAACAGAAAGGCAGTAAAATTTATCCATAACCCAGCTCTGTCAGTCATTGTTAATAATTTAGTATACATATTTCCAGCTAAAGCATACTTTTAAAAGCAGCTCTGGTTTTGAAAATTAGAAAATCACATAGTCTAACAGATGATCCTAATTCTTGACTTTGCTGTTAGCTCACAGAGAGAATCATCATCCTTTTTGTGGTGATCACCAGTCAAGAGGAAATCCAAGAAAAATACGTGGTGTGTGTTTTATTCATCTTTTGGAATCTACTGGATATGGTCAGGTAAGAAGGCAAACTAGTATTTTAAAAGAAGGCCAAATTACCTTCTACACTGAAACCAGGAATAGCTCCTTATATTTGGTTATTCTGAGAGCACAAAACATAACCTCTTTTCAAATTATTTTACCATGATATGGTAATGTTTCTTAGTGCTTTCACAGTGAGCATGCCAAAGGCAATGTAAACCTGTCACGGTATTACAAGAACAAATCAGTGCCTTCAGGTTTGCAGCACAAGGCTAGGCATAACACCCAACTCGGAGTAAGCCTCACACTGTGTGCCAATGAAAGGAATTTCTTATGATTGTTCTAGTGCATGTCTCTCTAATAAGCAAAGCAGGACTTTCGTTATGTCATCGTCAGAGTTTACTAAGTTGGTGTCTGTGAATTAATGTTTTAAACGTACGACATCATCAGTGGAACAAAACATGGACTTCCACCTCCATTTCAGTATAAAATTCCAGTGGGTTCACATAACTAACTCAAGTTCTTTTGTGGAATCCTGAGGAACTCTGGGTCCTGACAGTCCTGTTTCCTTGTAATTCTAAATCGTACAATGAGAGGTGCCTTGTCCTCTCTTCAAGCAGTGATGCAGGCCAGTCCCCTTTGCTCAGTGAACTGTCATAACTCTTTGGGGTAGTGTCCATCAACCTCACCTGGGACTTGTTAGCAGTACAAATTCTCAAGCTGTCTCAGGACTCTGTCTCAGGGAAGGAAGGGTGAACCCGGCAATTTGTGCTTTAAGAAGCCATCTGAGTCATTCCGATGGATACTGAAGCCCGAGAGCCACTGACCTGTTCTATCTGAATAAATAAAAACACATAGATCGCTTTACCCACAACTTTACAGTGGTTGGTTTAAAACTGCCTACTGTATCCTAGTCGGCTCCCAAAGCCAGTTCTTACAGTTGATCATACAAGTTGGAACAACTACAGATACTACCAGGAATTTGGAATCAGATTTTAATAAATTAATTCCTGAATATTGACAACTAAAAAAAAACTAAATGCTTCCTGCACAGGATAGGGTTAGCTTTTTTAATAAAATTGAAGTCATTAATTAAGGAAACATGTAACTGTAATTTCTTGTGAGGCAGTAACAGTTTTGCTTTATTTAACCCATAATTATCTGTGATGTAGCCCATGAGATAAGCCAGAGTGACAGCGTCCCCACCACTTTTTAAACCTCTTCTCTCGCTTAACTGACAGGGAATAAAACGCATAGTTTGCACACTGCCAGCCTGTCTCTGTATGTAAGGTGTTTTCTCCTGTTATTCGCCAGACATCAGCAGGAAACGACATTGTGGGCCCCTTGTTCCCTTTCAGGTACACTCACAGCATGCTGGCAGTCACAGGGACATCCTATGCTGTCTTGACGTGGCTCAGTCAAACACTGTGGATGCCCATTTATCCCCTGTGTGTTCTTGCTGAAGGTAAGAAAAGGGCTGTGTTTCTGACAAAAGCCACGTAGTGGTAATAGTTCACTAATTTTTTGATGATTAAATTGCTATTACTTAGTGTATCTTTCCTGGAATATTTCCCTTGATGCAAAAAAGCAAAGCCTTCACAAGTGAAGCTGGAGAGGGAAGAAGCTCTGTAGAACAGATGAGACACTGGATGAGAAATAAGGACTGTGTCCAAGCCCTTAACTATCTGTATGCATTTGGCATAATTCATTTAACTCAAGCCTGTCACTTTCCAAGGAGGGATTCAGTATTTAGAAATTCTATGATCCTTTTACTTTTCAGGCATAGAATTTCGGTTCTGTTTGGCTGGCCCTTCCTGTCCACTTACCAGCTTCCATAGAGCCTATCCCTTCTGAGGAAAGTATTCCTTGACTTCTTAGTTCCCCTTAGTACAGCATCTTGAGTCGGTCTTCTAGGGCCTAAGTTGGGTGGAACTAGATATCTGTATGGTCCTCTCACTAATGACCATTTTCCTAATTAGATTTTTAAGACGCATGAAGGTACAGGGATATATGTTTCTTTATTCCCTTCCTTTCTCTTATGCACAGGTGACTTACTGGCTGCAGTATGAAGTAAGCTAGTTACATATCCTAAATATAAACCTAAAAGTTGAAATCCAACAATTAAAATCACCACTTTTCAAAGAACTTTAGGATATTTAGAGACTATCTAGTTCCTTCTGTAATGGATTTGACCAATTGGTAGGGAGCTTTCTAAAAGTTATGATTAGGGCTGGGGATTTAGGTCAGTGGTTTCAGCGCCTGCCTCACAAGCACAAGGACCCAATTTCAATCCCCAGTACCAAAAAAAAAAAAGTTATGATTAAAGTTTTTAAAAGCTCTTTAGCTGCCCGCCTGCCTGCCTGAGATCACCCGGCGGGTGCGCGACCTCCTGGACTGCACGACCACAGACCCAGTAAGGAAGGTAGCCATGCGGGCGCCCTTGAAACACCCCCATGACCTCCCCCCCCCGTTCTCAAACCTCCTGATTGGGCCAGTCCTTAGACCAACTCTGCAAAGGCATACGTTCTTCTCATGAAGGGTAGTTTTCTGAGCTCCCAACTTTGAACATCTTTAAAGAAAGCGCAGGAGAAACCTGTAATAGAACTGAGTGGAGTTCAACCCTGAGGGTAGGGAAACTCAAGTTAGGCCTTGTGGACTGTGTTCAGTCTCAGTCATGGGGAACTGCCATTGGCTAGCTGAGACCAGGGGATTCAGTTCTGCATATGGCTGTACATGTGGTATAATATGAGAACAGAGACAGTCTGAAAGAGGCCCTTCAAATTCTTTTTTTTTTTCTCTCTCTCTCTTTTCTTTTCCTCATTCCACCCTAAAATTTCTTTCTTCTGTCCTCTCTCTCCAACTCAGTCTCTCGCTCCACCATATTCTCCCTCATCTCCCTTTTTATTCCAGCTCCTGCCCTAACTCAGACTTCTTCTTTTATTATTTTTTCTTTTTAGGAGGGATTTCTCTTTATGTTCTTTTCTCCAGTCATTTTACCTCACTCATGGCTCTGTACCTTCAAGGGAAGGCAAGCGCCTGTTACTGTTAAGGGGATATATTCCTGTCCTTATTCCTGCACTCTCTCTATCCCCCCTGAACTTAATAGCTTTGTAAAGATAGTAAGGTAATTCTACAACCTCTGGATTCACTTCAAACCTGCTCTAATTCTTTCACTTATCTAATCCTCTTGTTCTAAGTCGAACCCCCCATCCTAAATGGTAAAGATGCCATATTGAAAAGAATATTCACTGCAAACATACTATGAGCTGCTTCTTGAAATTAATCTAATTCACATGAGTTAAAGGTGATACATTAATGACTACCACAAGTGGTCAGTTGGCAAGCTGTGCCTGATCCTATTGGGCTGCTGAATGTATCAATTGGGACAAAGAGTGGTGATTGATTTAAAGAGTTGTTTTCTCTGATATTATGAAAACGAGAATGTCTATGAGTCATTAGAAACTCAAAAGCTAAAACGCAACTATATTAGGAAGATTTAAGTAATACCCAGAAATTAAAGAAGGACAACCCAACAATAAAAATAAAAATGAGAAAACACTTAAGCAAGACACAAAAACAGATTTCCAGTTCACCAATGGCAAATAGTAGGACAAATGAGGATGAAAAGTCTGATAGTGAACCAACAGGACACCCTGGACCCATAGCACAGGAGGTAACAAAACAGATCAATCAGGCTCTAGAAAAATTCAAATCAGAAATAATTTCCCAGTTAACCAGAGAGATGATGAGCAAAATGGAAGTCATGATTCGAGACTCTAGAGCAGAAACTGACAAAAAAATAGATGAGCTCAAGACCATCATAGAAGCCATGAAGACTCAGCATAAGAAAGAAATGGAAACAATGAATGCCCAACAGAGGAAAGAAATGGAATCCATAAAACAGATTCAAACAGATATCCAGGAACTCTATTGAAAGTGTACACAACAGAATAAAAGATTGTGAACATAGAATTTCTGATATAGAAGATAGGATCACAGTCAGTGACCGTGAAAACAGAGGTCTCTTAAAAACAGTAAGGGATCATGAGAAATCAATCCAACAACTTCTAGACGATACAAAGAAAAA